GGCCGTCAGAGTCGCATCCTAAGCCTCGCAGGGCCCTGCGGTGGAAGGGGCCCCGGGCTTCTTTGTGGTCCCCTCGCTCTCCAGCTGGAGGACGGGCCTTGCCTTGCAGAGGTGGTCTGGGAAAATAGTAAGAATAATAATGATAATGATAATAATGATAATCCTAACCATCTGGTGACCCTGTTGCATGGCTACAGTACGCTCTCCCTTGAAACCTGTTTATCTATCTATCTATCTAAAAGATTTGTAGGGCCACCCCTCTTAAGGCGCAGCTCGAGGGGGCTCTCAGCAATGATAAAAAGGAAAACTAAACCATAAAAAGAGAGCCAAAACCAAAGCCCAAAAAGCCCCTGGGAGCCTCAGTCATCTCCTCGGACGCTCCAGCGGCCATCTCGGGCTCCTGTCGCTCTTCGTCCCGGGGAGGGTGTTCCGCAGGGTGGGGGGCCGCAGAAAGGGCTGCTTCCGAGGTCCCACCAGATGGCAAAATCTCAGGGAAGGGACCTGGGCAGGAACTTTCAGAGAAATTAGCATTAAGCCACATCTTCAGGAATTTTAATGCATCTTGGGCTACATTTGCAGTCTGGCTTGGAGGGGGGTGGGGAGAACACGTGCCGCTTTCGTCGGTTGAACGTCCACCTGCCTTTATTAATCTGGTTCCAGATTTTTGTCCCGTCTACGTTCTTTCTCTCTTGCCACTTCTTCAAGGCAGCTCCATCCCCCAGTGTTTCTCAGCCTTGGTGACTTGAGGATGTGTGGACTTCAACTCCCAGAATTCCTCAGCCAGCATGGGGAGTTGAAGTCCACACATCTTCAAGTCACCAAGATTGAGAAACACTGCTCCGCAGAGATAAATGTCAGAGCCCTGCAGGTATCTTGGATGGAATCATCTAAAATCATTGACCACTGGTCATGCAGATTGTGGTTTATGGGCAGGGGTGTCCAAAACATCTGGTGGTCATCATATTAGCTCTCCTGCAGTAAGTACAGTGTTCAATTTCAGCTGGTGAGTCAGGACGTGCTGTGAGTCACAGCCATGACCGTAATCAAAGAGCAATATACTGTATGTGTGTATACTGTATACATGTATACCTATGTACAGTATATGCATACACACACACACATACACAGCCAGGGTTCGGAAAGGGCATTGTTTGCCCTGGTAAATGACTTTTGTTGGTCAATATCTTGGACCACAACAAATGGCCCATTGCGATCTATGTATTAGAACAACATATTCTATATATAGTCAGAACCCAAACATTACACGTAATACAGCTCTTTCTCTGAATAAAACAGTACAATTGGGAACTGCATATGTAGATCTGATTGGGGCTAAATTATAGAGATGATCCAGAAATATGATTTGTGTTTCCTTTTAGTTCTGCCTTTTACTCTATTTTGTTATATATGGTCTTATTGTTGTCCAGGATTTTGTATTCTGATATGGCCTTACGGCAAACTAGTGAAGTGTAAAAAACATAGAAGACTTACGCTGGGACCAGGATGGAGAAAGTGTGTCCCTCCTGGTCCTTTTAGACCTCTCAGTGGCCTATGATACCTCAACCGTAGTATCCTTCTGGAGCACCGTCAGGCGTGGGGTTTGTGGGTGCTGTGTTGCAGTGATTCTGTTCTATCTTTAGTGAACCATTCCAGTCAAAGGTGGTGGGGCAGGACAGATGGCCCCAATGGCTACTCCCTTAAGGGGTGCCACAGGAGTCAGCTGTCTCCCCCTTCCTATTTAACAATTACATGAAGAGACTGGGAGAGGAGATGTCGTAATCTGGGGCACCACCTTCTCCCACTGAAATCAGCCTGGGCAGTTCAGTCTATCCAAGTAAACTATTAATGGGGTCCCACCTTAGGAAGGTGAGGGGGGCTGAGACTTGATGGCACTGCTTTTCGGTGGCTGTGCTGGTTCTTTGGAACTGATTCCCAGTGGACATCCAGTTGGCTCCCACCATGACTGCCAGCTGGAGGCGGCTGAAAACAGCTCTTCCAGGGGCCTTGGTTCCATTTATACATCTTGGTTTGGTTAGAGTTTGGCTTAATTAATACGTTTTGTCTACTCTTGGTTTGGGAACCTTGGAGCTTCAGAAGTCTCTGCTGCCTTTTCTCTTTAACTTTGATCTACTTTGCGTTCTTTCTTTCCATTTGTTTAGTAATAAAATTAGGAGTGTATAATAAGGATTGGCCATTCTTTAATATGGTTCAGCTATACTTTTATCCTCCACTTTAAGATAAAAAGAGGTTGACATTCAACAATAATAAATTTTTCAAGAAGGCTAAAAGACTAGATTATTCCCTACTGATTCTTTATACGTGTGCTTGGCTCTGTCCTTCATACTTGGAATCTATCAAGTCATCAAGGACTGGATTTTTCAGAGATGGGGGCTGACTAAAAGAATGTTTGTATGGTGCTCAGAAGAGAAATCAACACCTGATGGGTTGTTGACATGCGTTGTTTGTCAACAGTTAAATTATTTGCCATGGAGCAAGAAAGGCTTTCTAGCTGTACAGTCAAATGTTTTGGAGTTGTCCTAAGATAAATTTCTAGGCCTTCCTCTTTTATTCTTTTATTATGTACATAATTATTAAGACCAGATTTTTGCTCTTCAGCAGTCTTTGAGAAATGAATGAATGTAAGAAAGTGTACAGTACATTTGTTGATGTGGGAAATGCATATTGTAATATGAATAAGCTTGAATTATGGACTGCTTTGTACCAATGTGGAATTGACAGTTGATTACTGAAAGCGATATGATGGAACGAAAGCATGTGTGAAAATAACTAGAATGATTAGACAATTGTTCAACATTTAGTAGGAGGTAAGACAAAGATATGTGATACTCCCTTGGTTACTTAACATATTTATAGATAAATGCATAAGGAACGGTTGCCAGGATGTTAAGGGACTGTTGGTTGTGGATGTGAATGTGAGTCTGTGACAATGCCATGTTGTTGGCTGAGAACCTGAATGCTTTGCCATGAATGTTAGATAGGCTGTCCAAGGTAGGAAGAAAGATCCTGAAAATTAATGCGTCAAGGACCAAGGCAGTTGTGTTTGACAAGGAAAATGAAATGAACGATTGGCAAGTCCTAGATAAATGTTGAAAGACAAGAGCAGGTAGATGAATTCTCGTACCTTGGTGGAATGATTACAAAAGAGAGGGAAGTGGTTGGAGAAATTGTAAGACAGACAAATGCTGCTGGAAAGATAATAGATAGTTTGTGGCCTTTTGCAAGAAATGATCATTTGTCAAAAGAAGCAAAAAAGGCTGTATATAAGGGTGTGCTTATGGAAGTAAGAATTGGGTGTGCCAGGAGAACCATAAAAGGAAGTTGAAAGTGGTGGGGATGGGGTACTTAACACCTGTAAAACAAGAAGTTATGTGATCAGGAACAAATGGCCCCTGAATGAATGTGGATTAAATATAAGTGAGCAACCAGCAGGGAAAGTAAACTGAAGGGTTTGGTCATAGAGAGAGAACAGGTAAAGATCAAAATGAATATATGAAGTAGGAGTAAGAGAGGAAAGGAAAGACAGAAAATTGGAACCGCAAGGAAATTGACAAGATCCTGAAAATGAGAGTTTGAGAGCCAAAGACAGTTTATGAGTAAGGTGTACAGATGTGATAATTTGCTCCACAGAAAGCTGTGGAGAAGTATAATGAACAGTGTTGGTATAAACCAGATTTAGTTATATTCCTGCTCGTTTTCACTGTCTTTTTCATGCCTACTCAATCTTTTTCTGCAGTTTGTGTAACGTTGCTTCCACTGAAAGAAGTTTGAGTGAACACACACATTTTCATTCTGAAATTATATTATGTTGTTGCTTCTGTTGTCCATAGCTACACTTTTTCATCTGGTACTGGTTTGACGTAATAAAATGATCGTATGCTTGTGAGCTCATGTTTGAATTACATATCGACCCTTAATACTTGGTCCACGAAGGTGATTTCCTCCATAACCATTTCAGGCTCATATTGTCATATGAATAGTGTCATATTGGGTTACCGTTATTTTAAGGAGGGCCACAAGCTCATTTCCTTGTTGCGACTAACTTCAGATTGACAATGCTGGACATTTAATGTTGCCGTGGAGTATTGTTAGATACTGTCTTGTGGTGTCCTGTGCACCCATGGCAAGCATAGACTTGAGTGTTTGGTTAGGGTTAGGTTGCTTGAATGATTGCTCTGGATTATACTGTGGGAATAATTCTGGCCTTCTGGCCAGAAGTATTTGGGTGGAATGGATTTTTGAAAGGACAATATCCTCTCTGCCCCGTTTGGAGAATGGAGAAGCATTTGCCATCTCCAAACGTGGCTAAATGCAGAGAAGAAATGGACATTGGAGTAGACCAGTGTTTCTCAACCGTAGCAACTTTAAGTACACAGCTTAAAGTACTTATGGTTGAGAAACACTGGAGTAGGCAGTGCTGTTTGGAGAGGCAAAGTCCAATGAATAGAGAAGATAAGAAAGTTGTCCTTCTCTCCCTGTTATTTTAGAGATAAGAGAGTTCATCAAAACGCCTGGAGTTTTCATAGGCACTGGTCCCCTTTGTCAGGTGGAAACCGTGCACGAGAGTAAGGCAAATAAACCAAGTTTGCACATATGCCCCCGAGAGCTGCAGCTCTACATCAACAGAGTAACGGCCCTGGACCGTAAAGAGAGGCGTCTTTCAATCCTACACAAGGTTCCTGGATCTCTTCCAAGTATGAAGTATGCTTGGCTTCGCTTTGGCTTTGGCTTTCAGCCGTCGGAGTTAACATGCTAGGAAAAGCTGAATATTAATTATTCTGTAAAAAGTCTTCAGTTATGAATATAACTAACTGCCTGCATTGTTCCTGGATCTCTTCCAAGTATGAAGTATGCTTGGCTTCGCTTTGGCTTTGGCTTTCAGCCGTCGGAGTTAACATGCTAGGAAAAGCTGAATATTAATTATTCTGTAAAAAGTCTTCAGTTATGAATATAACTAACTGCCTGCATTTTTAATGTTACAGGATGTAATCAGTCAGGTTCTTCCTGATGCAACAACAACAGCTTTTGAATGTGAGTATGGCTTGCCAGAAAGACGGGCGTGGGGGGGAGAGTTTATATTTGCATCATTTATTTAAAACAGTGACAACTACATATTGTTTATGTTCAGATATCTTACAGTTAAATATTTATACATGGATGCAAGTTTAATGATAAACCTTAGCTAAGTAATATTTTATTATTTAATCACATCTTGAGAGCACATATTTCTACGGTATAGTTTTAATTACCATCCTGACCTTACTGTGCTCTTTGTACGCGTTCCAATTATATTGCTCAAATTAAACGAAAAATATAAAGTACCTGGAGGCTTTGTGTGCTGAGATTTTAATTTTCATATTTGTATTATTAAAAGCAAAAATCAGTAGATGGCCTTTGCAGGAATCGGTCTTCTGTGCACAGGACACTAAATTGGTTGTGGGAGGGTCACCTTCTCTGGAGGTGGCCATTGTCTTTGTGGGAGAATGTGGAGGGCAACTTGGGGCCCAGAAGGCTTCGCCCTGGGCTTTCCTGCTGTCAGACCCCTGAGGATGCCACTGAGAGCATTAAGAACAAGCTCTCCTAACACAGGAGACCTCTCTCTCCATTTTTAATACGCGGGAAGAATGCTGGTCTGTCTTACGAGACCATTGTACAAAAACATTGCCTATAATGTGACCATTTGGGCACCACTCCCCAGAGAGGGGGTCAAGAGCTGAGGGTGGCCGAGCTCAAATCACGTGGCAGGGCAGCCCCGTCTTCTCCACTGTGGCTTGCGTCTCAGCTGACGTCTCCATACCAGTAACAGGCATCGATTGTGGTCCGGGGACACCATTGGCAGAACCTGCTTGAAAGAAACATGGGTTTCGTGGCTTCTCTTTAACATCTGCTGCTGTGCTTTCTAGTTCTTGAATTAGCCTGTCATTTTGCATCAGCATGACATTGTTTCTCCTGCCACTTAAGTGCATCAAAAATATGTTAATGTATATTGATGCCACTTGCTTTCTAGGTTATCTTCCCCCTAATGAAAGCCTGAAATTTCCCTGGCTTAAGTATCTTCTCAGCTACTTGATGGCTTTCTTGGAGGCAGTTAATTGCTATCCACAGCGGCTTCCTCTCCTGTTTGCTTAGTTATTGCTATCTCCGGTGTGTCTTCTGTGGCTGCCTCTACCTGGGGCTGTATTCTCTGTTGCCATTGGACCTTGTGGTACGCCATGTTGCTACAAATAAAACGACTAACGACATATGGCTCGTTATGGTCCTTTTATCCCAAACCGTTTTGCGCGTGCACGACACACTGCGTCTTTTGCAAAAATTGCTGTGGAATATTTGGTTACCATCTGCTGCATTCTGTTTGGTGTCTTGCGAGGAGGTGACATTAGCAAAATCTAGGCTTTATTTAGTTCTACGTTTGCTTCCCTAATGGACTGGAAGATCGTGTTGTTTCTGCTCTAGGCGAGGAGAGGGGCTTGGTAAACCCCTTCTGAACCTTTGTGTGCTGCGGCATCGCTTGGGAGGGCCTCATTTCTTCCCCCAGCGGGATGGGTTAGCAGCCTTCCTACTTAATCAGAGAAATACAGTACCTGAAAGGAGCCCGTTCCCCTCCCATCAAATAACAAGTGATGCTCATCTATTTTAGGGAGACGCAGCCTCTTTTCCTACTGATCCACTGCCCGTTTTATACAAAAATGTGTGTACTGTGAGAACAGGAAAGACACTTCAGTTCACCTGAGAATTTCCAACGCTGTGCTGCTTTTAGAGCTAATCTTCTGTAATGAGGTGCTTTCTAAATGGCATTTATTTGTGAGCTTTGCAAATTGTGGCCTTTTACTACAAAATACTCCTTCCAGGTATCTGTTGTAAAATCCTCCTATTCTCTTGTTTATTCTGTTTTTTTTATTAGCTTTTTTCATTTAGAGTCAGATTGTGTTTAGAATTTTCTTAGCAGTTACTATTCTAATGACTTCTGTTAGAGATACTAGAATTATATTTGTTTATGAAGTGAGAGGCCTTATGCTCCTCTTGGGGAGCAGAAGATAGTGATAGAATTGAGACCCAGTGAATCATTTCGTTTGACTCTAGGATATCTTCTACCTATCTATAATGTAGATAGACTTTAGAGAGTAACATAAACTCTAAGGAGCGTAAACTAAATGTTTAGTGCAAGATGCTGAAAGGGATGGGGGAATATAGCCTGAAGTCGTCCTTCCAGCCAGGCTATCACTGAAGGAATGGATGCCACTTGTTAAATGAGACATGATGCATTATGAACCCCCCCCCAACAATTAAATCATCATTTCATTTCCAGTGGAAATCATTAGCCATCGTTTTATTACTGCTTGGTGCCCTTGCAGAAAGAGTGACCTGGGCCCAAAGCTGAGGTCCATGGAGAGGATCTGAAGTCACTCTAGCACCCACTCACATGACTTCCAGTTTCGTGCTCTGTCCTCTCTCTTTCGCACCTGCCAAACTAGTCACCCTCATTTGAAATTATGACAAAACAGGTATGTGTTCATATCCTTCGGTCCTCGTCTGTTCATGTTTTAAATTTCTTCCAGTACGTGATCTTCTTTCGACTTGGTAAATTTTAATACATGGACTTTTATTTTATACAGATGAAGATGAGGATGGCGATCGGATTACTGTTCGAAGTGATGAAGAAATGAAAGCTATGTTGTCCTATGTAGGTATATCTTAAATAAACTGTGAACTGAGTTATAGATTGCCAGCAAACATGACTCAAAAAGCTGAGCTGAATGAGAAAGCTGCAGGATTGTGCAACAAGGAGGCTTGTGCAGAATCCTAGAGCATTCCAGTTTACTGTTGCTTCCCAATCCTGGACACACCCACATAACTTATTTTTAGTGATAGCACCAAATTAAGCCACCAACACTAGAATTTGTGAGGAATTTGGGGCTGGGTGTTTTTTGGTTTTGGTTTTTTTATAATCTTGGTTGAACAAGTTGGAGCAGGGATTTTGTGTGAAATTCTGAAGTGCTCCTTTTCTTAGAAAAACAGTGAATAATACACTTACAGATCATGTTCATGAACATTAAGAATAACGTATCCCAATGACTTTTGCATTAGATATAGTGCAGGCTAAATGGACTATCAATTTCTTCTATTTTTTATGCATTACTTAAAGTAACGGCTCATTAAAAATGAACCCTTCAGCTCTTTAAAAAAACAAAATCAAAAACAAAATCTGCTTTCATCTGGATACTTCTTCGCCCCTTCTCTCTGAAGAGTTATATTTTAGCTGCAGGCTTGGTGTGCTGAGAAGATTTTAAAATGCATTGTCTTTTAATAATGACAGTAAAAATAGGACGAGAAGGCTGCAGTGGCTTATGTATATCCTTATAAATGACTTGTCCTTTGCGCTTTATAAATGGGCACGAGTTTAGCCATTCACGTTTCTTTTCAATTAAATCAGAGTCATAGGACACTGTCCGGTTGGCTGTTCCTTTGGTCCTGCCGAGGGGAGGGAGGTACGGATTGCCCGGATCTTTCAAGCAGACCTGTTTTACGCTACCCTGTGCCCCAGCAGTTCCTCTTGCACAAGGGACGCGTGCATGTGCCACATTTCTCTGTTGTTTCGGTAAAGGGCGTTTCCCAAGGAAACTTTCCGTGCATACAAATGCAGTAGGGAAATCTCCGCAAACCGAACCCCTCAGTGCCCCGTGTCCGATCCCCGCTTCATCCAGATCGCTCTGTTCTGTGCCCCGCCTGGATTGTGTATTTCCTTTCGCAAGATACTGTTGAGAGAGAGGGAGTAATTTTGGGGGTGGCGTGGGAATTTGCCCTTCAGATGAATGATTTTTTTCATTTGAGCAATCCCATTTAAACAAGCCCATTGTACCCAGTGCAGGGATGAGTTGGAATGCCACCCAATGTAACTTCGGTGTTAGACTTAATCATAGCTACCACACAAAGCTCCATTCGCTTTAATGGGCTTGGAGAGGCTCAGAAGCCTTGAGAACGGGCCCCAGTAGAGCATCTGTAACCGCGCCAGCTTGTGTTGTCTCCAGTACATCCCAAACGGTTACACAGCCTAAAGAGAAAAATCCTTTCAAATCCTGCTCCTTCCTGAGTTGGGAAGGGATTATTGCCGCTCTCCAGTTTTATAGTATTTTAAAAATAGTTTAAATGTTTAGGGGAAAAAGAAGAATATCCAGGGTGATACATACTCAGAACTAAAGGATTCACTTTTATTAAATGAAAGGTCAGAAGTATTTTGAGATGTAAGTTCATTATCGTTTAGCTGTCCCACAATAGCAAGATAAGTTTGATTGTGTTTGTATGTCTGTGTGTGGAGAGGGGTGTGGATATGATCTGGAAGAAAGCCTCTTCGTTTGTTAGACAAACTTTACAGCCTGTTTATGCACAGCCGCGATATATCCGAGATGTTCATGTCTTTCTTTCGGAGCTCTTCAAAGCATCTGACTGACCGTTGTTGGAAGAATATTTAATTAATGAGTATGTTTAATTTATTTAGTTTTAATTTGTACTGAGGTTTTTTGGGGGGGGTTGCTTTCAACACATTCACCTCTCTTTTCCACTGCACCCCCTTTCCCTTCACAGCCTCCTTTTTTTTGACAGCCACACAAGAATGGTTATGGCTGGGCTCAAAAAGGATGTTTGTCCCTGAATTAGAGGCAGCACAACCCAGACATTTCTGTCATTGCGGAAAAGCAGCGCAAATGCAAGGATTGGTGGTGGCTGTGGCCGACGCAGGCCGTGGCACGTGCTAGCTGGGCGAGATCAGGCTGGTTTTCATGCAGTACCAGTTGCTGATGGTACGAAAACAGAATCCGTTTTCCAAAATTGTAACCTGAAATAGTGGGGAAAATATGTTTTCTTAGGGTTTTCAGAACTGAATGAAATAATTCCTAGAATGTTGCTGTATTATCATCAGAGCAAACTACTGGAAGGACGAAGCTTAAGGTTTTAAAAGGTTTTTAAATTGAAAAATAAATGATAACGTTGTCATTCTGGAGTCACTCTGACGTCAGAGGATGTTTTTTTCACCTCAACCTTGTCTCCCTTGAGCTATTTCTAAACTTTCCCACAAGCAAACCCTTAACTTGGTGAGAAGGGCACCGAGATTTATTAATTGCACATTTTAATTATAGAAAAATAATCCAAATGGATTTCCTGCCTTACTCTTGGTTAATTAAAAAAGAGCCATTAAGTGACAGTAGGGCTACTCTACAGTCGTTGTCTTCTATGGATATAAAAAGGCAGTAATTTTTTTGACAGCCACTGATTGGAAAGTTGCTTGCAGCCATCTGGAAGCAAAGGGTACATGTTTTGGATCAATAACTGGCAAATTTTCCATTAAAAAGAATACCTGAACAGTGTTCCAAATAGCCCCTGGCATCTTAACTTTCCATGGCAACCCCAAGTGCTCATATGTGGAGGACAAATCATTTTTGGACCATTTTTCCAGACTACTTGTTAACAGTTATTGCTGTCCCAAAAGGTTGACAGCTGACATGATTGATATTTCATTTACTTGTCATCTCTGTTTGAGTAATGGAGAAGGCCATTCTTTTTTATTATTATTATTTTTAAAGAAACATAGGGCAAAATCCACTCAGAGCCTCTCTGGAGTCAGTCCCAGGGAAATGAGTCCAAGTTGTATAAGAATCTGCTTCTGAAGCTGAAACTTGGCTTTGGAGCTGGTCTTTGATATTATGTTTTCAGCTTAGGGTAGCTTCCTTTTATGCCTACTGGCTAATGCTAGAGCAGGAGACAAGCAGAGTGCAGCAGATATAGATACAGGAGTCTGAACCTTGCTCAGCTTGGTCAAACCACAGCTTCTCACCTCGCTCAGAAGGAAGAATTGTCATGCTAGATCAAGCTAAAAGTCCATTTAGTTCTGTGGTCTCTAGATGCAGTTAAAGAACCTCTAACAGGAACTGATAAGGACATCCAGATGTTTTGCCTAGACAGGTATTCCACTGAGTAGTTCTACAGCCAGCTGGGCTTCATCTCTAGGGACAGAGATGCAAATGGATTACAGTACGGTCTTCCATTGGGCTCCTAGAACTCCACAGTATCTTCCAACAGGATGTTCAAATCTGTCTCAACTGCCATGATCTTTCACTGTTAGGAATCAGTGAGGTTCTCCATGGGTGACCTAGAACCAGCATGAAACTGGGCTGCTCTCTACACTATTGTGTTGTCCACTTTTTTCCTATGTATGATTGGTGATTCTGTTTTCAGCCTGTTTTGTGATATCACACTTGTATTAGTACAAACATTAGTATCTCATCATAGCAACCTGGGATTCACAGAGCATCTTCCCCCATGCTAATACACTATGCCAGGAGCATTCATCATGTGCAGTTTCTGGAGGCATCCAACCTAGCTCCTTCTGGAGTCCTGACTTGAAGGCTTGGTTGATTATTAGTAGGAAGTGTGTGTATGTGCACGAACCTAATGTAACAAGATGCATCTGTTAACCAAGATGATAATTTACTGTGTATTTGAGATACTGAAAGTACTTGTCGGGCTCCTTGGCAGCTGCCAAAACCAAAGTAATTATTTTCCAGGCATGATTCTTAGAGTCCTCTTTAGCAAGATTTATTGTGTTGAAAGGGATAGGATCCCAAGAATTCCAGCAACTGAACTATTTTCCATTTAAAATCAATGTATATGTTAGGACAGAGACTTTCTGATTCTTCTTCTAAAGCTTTCCAGTAAACTGGTGAGAAAGTGAGTCTCAACAGTTTTTTTTTTTTTTATAATTTGTTCATTTGTCTTCATTACTTGTAACCTATCCCAGTCTTAAGATTCAGGGTGGCATATAACTGAGTAAAAATAAAGAATGAAAACAAAAAGAGAGGCATACAATTAATAATGGAGACGGCCACCAATCCTGCTTAAAAGCACAGTGGAATATGTAGCCTTAGCAGCTTTACCTGGAAGCAGGCTGTTCTACTAGCTGTTACCTGAACCATGCCCCTGTTACCTCACATACAGTGGGGACTCTAATCAGGCCTTTGCAATACTACTACCAGATGGGTGGATTCAGCCTTGGCGAGGTGATGTGCCGTATAGGGGTTTGTTGGCCTTCACAGCACTTTGAACTGGGCCCAGAAGCCTATTGGTAACCAGTGCTGTGACTTTGGTATTACTCTAGTGTTACTCTATCATGGTGGGATTATCCCATCAACAAGCTAGTCGCTGCATATTGGATCAGCTGCCATGGGTCATCTCCAAAAGCTATGCCAGTGGCGATCAAACCATGAATCACTGTCGCCAAGGCATCCTGGTCCACATGCAATTGTAACTGGCACACCAGCCAAAGCTAACTAAAGGACCCCCAGGCACAGCCTCCATCTGCTATTTAAACAGTACCCGTGAGTCCAGCAGGACTCCCAGATCACCAAGATTACTTGGTGGCATCCCATCCAGAGGAACCACCAGGACCAAAATTCCCAGACAAAGTCAGTCCTGGAGAGATTCAGTCTAGACTTATTTTTCCCTATTCAGATCTTGACAGAATCCAGACACTGGCTTAAGATATCTAGAGTATCCTCATAGCTGGACACCTGGGGTGGTGATATATTGCTAAATGCCATTAGTATACTGGGGACATCACACAGTATCCCACACTAGATGAACCATGTCCTCAGGACCTGTCCCCCATGATTACAGACTGGAACTGCTTATTCAAAAGAGGGCGCACAACAGCCTTTTAAAATAATATGACCAGCTCTCTCGAAGAGTTGACAGTTTCTCTAATGCAGCTGTTCACATCCTCCACTGCCCGAATGCCCAAATGGGCCACAGATCAAACCCACAGCTAGTGGTGCTGATGCTAGAGAGGAGCTTAGTCACTCCTTGGGCGCAGGACGTTCAAACAAATCCCAGATTACAGCATATGAGCTTGCTCATCTAGTCCAACAGGCATCCAGCCCAGTGTGAGGTCCATACAAGTTGTTATACAAGCAATTTTATATTCCAAGAAGTTTGAAAAATCATCCAGGAGGCCTGCAGACATGTTATCCAGTCCATCCTTTCCTAAAAGGATTTAGGTAATTCTGAACAGGGCTGCCAGACAGGAATCTGGGGATGGAGTTAATGGTTTATCATTCTTATCACTGCTTCATAGGCTCAAAGATGAACTCTTACCAGGTGTAAGGTGGAAACTGCCCACTGGATGCCTGTTGGACTAGATGAATGTGCTTGAATTCCAGAGAGTGTTTGGGGGTTTCGCAACAACTTGGGCAGTTCTGTCTCATGCCTGATTACCCTCTAGAATATGAAGGTGGCCAAAGCACTGGGTGAGGTGGTTCCTATGGCGACACTGCCCAGTAGAGAGTTTTGGGGCAATTATGAGGTGCAGTTTGATGAGGAAGTGATCTGATCCCAGCAAAGTACAGATGTCAGTGTCCTCAATCTCCACCTCATCTCCAAAATGAAGATTAGATCAACTATGTACCCCCTATGTGTTGGAGCCAAGATTACATGGGAGAGGCCCATGGTTGCCCCAAAGACCATGAACTAATGGAGTGCAGCAAAATCTTCTCCCAAGGCATGGAAATTAAAATCCCCCAAGACTCTCTGTCTTGGGAACTCCAGTACCAGCCACAAGATGACATCCAGGAGCTCAGGAAGACTTAGGAAGTCAGTACCAACAGTTATCCTAGCCTATTCTTATGGCTCAATTCCACCTACACCACTTATGAGGGAGTCTGTAGATGAGATGGTCTGGTGAGATTAGGATCATCATGGCTAATCAGACTTTCCTGTGAACCACCACCACCTCTATCAAGGACGAGGTGAAGAGAAAAATCACATCGTATATGCAATTGCTTGTCTATGGTTTTGGGTGGTCCTGTGAGGTTGGAGATGGACCATTTGACTGTAAACACTCAAGATACAAGAGGGAATGCCCAGCTGTGGGTTGGCTGCTCTGATTGTAGCAAAATGCCTGATTCTGTGCACCACAGAGCTACCCAGCATCTTTAGGCACTGTGTAGTGTCACTGTTGCAGGAGAATTGCTAAACTTTGCAACTCAATGTCACTTCTTCTGAATTCTACCTCTTTCCACCAATTTTCCCTCCTTCACTCTATACTCTATGACAACCATGACAAAAAAAGTTGGTAGGTTGAGGATGGGTCAATGATTCCATCCATTATCCACAAACAGAGGAAAAATAAAATAATCTTGCAACATCTTTGAGACTAGCACATTTTCCTACCACATCAAGTTTTGATGGACTTCAGTTCATTTCATCAGATGTGTCAGGGATGGTCCAACTGTTGGAGGATACGAGGGGAAGGAGGGAAAATTGGTGGAAAGAAGTAGAATTACTTTAAAGATTAGCAATACAGAAACAAAAGCATCCAAAACTATTTTGGATGTCAGTGATTGGGATCATGAACCTGACCCTAAGCAGAGAGGTATCAGAGCAGGTGGACTTCCCCTTCTGTAGCATGGAGAGTTTTATTAAATCCTTCCCTGTACTGTAGTTATGAGGAGGCTGATTTCTCCTTAAGGTTGTATCATCCATGTTCCTTTTTGCAAGTTCCATACTGTACGCAGATGACATAGTGAACCAGTGGCCAGAACATCCCTTGAGGAATGATCTTCCAGAATGGGATTTTAACTCTTGTACATCCTGTCCCAACAGTTTCAGGTATGGCATTGCCAACCTCTCTGTGCTTCACTCATACGGCATTTCATATGAGTGCCTGTGTGCCCCCACCAATATTGCAGCATGGATTTCCCTGTGGATTTTAAAACTGATGGGCAGAGAGGGAGAATTCCTACAGGTGAGGATAAGAGTTAGGATTCTCATTTATCCATTAACAACTAACAGGAAAGCTCTGAATTAGGATAGAACTATAAATATCACCTTTGGGTTATACTCCTTCACAGCTGTTCTTCAGGGTCCAACAGCAGATAAATGTTTAAAAGCCACTTTTTCAAGCGAACGCTCATTGGTTTGTCTCTAATATGGCTATTCTGGAATTTGCAAATGGAACAAAATATACAAACTTGGTTATCATTCTTATTTTTTTTCCAGTATTACACAACTGTAATGGAGCAGCAGGGAAATGGGCAGCTGATCGTGCCTCTGCAGATCTACCCAAGAGGTAATTTTACATAGGTTTTAACAACCTACCAATGTTCCACCAGGTCTTCTATTTTCTGGAGGTTCAAAGACAGGTAATTCCACATTTTGATCTTAAGTTGGGGTTGAAAAATTAACTCTTTGAGTGTAGGTGCAGCTATTTTCCAGAGGAAACCAGGCTAACACAAATTATAGTTTGTACTCCACAACTTGTGGAAGTTTAAAAGTTCAGAGTGGCTGAATGCATTTAATCAGGCCTCTCCAAGAGGGCAAGCCAAAGACGAGAATAGTCTTCAAGCCATGTTTTCGTGAACCGCAATTACAAAAATATTGTATTGAAAACCTGGAGATGGGATAACTTTTCCACATGTATGTGTGCATGTTATGTAACTTGTTCCATGCACTTGGATATTCTCTTCAGAAGTATAATTTTTGATGGTTGAAATTAAATGCAAGTAAATTCCATGCAATAATTCAGTCGAAATATCTCAAAACTAAACTATTCCCTGTACAAATAATCATGGTGCAGGCTTTCCAATTAAAACATTATAGACTTTTCATTACTTATAACGCTCTCAATTTTGAATTGGGCAATTAACCGAGAGGTTTCTTAGCACATGCTGATCAGGGCTAGAAAGAGGGTGGCAATTTGCAGATGGAACTCTCCTCTGTTGAAAAGGATGCATTTAAGAACAGAAATAGGTCAATTCTTCCCTCTTTCTCTATTGCATACAAAAGTTTCTTGCTCACATGTACATACAACATTGATTCTTTTGTATGTTAGAACCTTCCACAAACCCACCTAATTCTTCCCTGTTTCCTCAGGCTGTCCCCAATCTTTTTCTTAATCACAGAGTTGGAAGGATTATTGAGACAGTCAAGTCCAACTTTTGGGCCCTCTAGAAATCAAAACATCCCCAACCAAGCACAGATTATCTTCTGCCTTTTTTGGAAACTGGTTCTACCCTCATACTGCTCCCCCGTTAGGAATATTTTCCGAAAAGTTTATTAGAATCTGCCTTCCTATAAGATGAACCCATTATTTCATGTCTTGCCCTCTGGGCTATAAAGAATAAGGTTCAGCCTTCTAGACAGAAGTGTGCCATGTCCCCTCTTCACTTCTCTTCTTCTGCCCAATTCCCTTAGACTCTGATCTTAAGTCTCAGCTTCCAGGCCCTTGATCATTCTCTTTGCCATTCTCTGAACCAGTCCAGTTTCTCTGAATGGGATCTGACCAGAGGAAGTTAGAGTGGCACTATTACTTTTCGTGCATTGGGGCTCTTCTGTTGACACAGCCAAAAATTGCAGTTTGCTCTTTTGACATCCATATCCTACTGCTGACTCTTCCTCACCTTGCCATCAGCTGCAATTTCAAGATCCTTTTCACCTGTATTATTGTTAATCCAGGTATCCCCAACTTACACGTAGATGTTCTGTTTATTTTTGTTAAGTAAAGTTTGCATTTGTCTTTATTGCATTTCATTTTATTATCTTCCTCTTTCTCTTATCTAGCAAGATTGTTTTAAGCTTTATTTCTGCCTTCTAGGGTATTAGCTATCCCACCCAGTTTTGTGTTACCTATAAACAGATGAAAAGCATCCTTCCAGTTCTTCATCCAAACCGTTAAAAAATTGTTGAAGAATAGAGGATGTTGTAGCACTCTACTCACTCTACAGTACTCCAGTTGCATAAGGAACCATGGACAAGTATAATTTTCAAGCCAGCTATTTGTTGTTGTTGTTCAGTCGTTAAGTCGTGTTCGTGACCCCGTGAACCATATTGCGCCAGGCTTTCTTGTCCTTCACTGCCTCCCAGAGTTTGCTCAGTTTCATGCTCATTGCTTCAGTGATGTTATCTAACCATCTCATCCTCTGCATCCCCTTCTCCTTTTGACTTCAGTTGTCATGGCATACTTAACCAGCTTGCTGATCAGCATACCAGGGGGTACTTTGTCAAATGCTTTGCTGAAGTCAAGATTTTCCCACAATCTGCCCAAAAAGTTACCAGTCAAAAAATGTGATTAGGCCAGACTGGCAACACTGTTTTTGATAAATCCATGCTGACTTCTGGTAATTAATGCATTGTTTTCAAGGTGGTTACAGAGATGGTTATAATCATCTGTAGAATATTCCCAGATATTGATGTCAGACTAAGTGATCTGTAGTTCTGTGAGCCCTCCAAGGTAGACCAGACTATGAAACCAATGCCATATAGGTCAGGACTACTGTTGTTGTAACAGTTGTAATAATAGAATCTTGCAAGTCTGAATGTGCTTCCCCCCCCCCCGATCTTTGTGTGAATTAAGGAGGGGCTTGTCTGAGACATTTTCTCAAGTTACTTTCTTGGCCCAGGCTCAAGCCCTGCTTATCGACCATTGCCGTGGTAGCAGCTCTTCCTCCTGTCCTTCTAGGCCATTCCCTGTTCCCTGTACAAGTTCTCTGAATCCTCTTTTTCCCTCTTTTTGAACATAGGATGTTAGTCCTTCTGTAATCATCTGGTACTTCACCTGCTCCCTGGTTCCATTCCAAGAAGGAAGCATTGACCACAGAACAAAATAGAGGGACCTCTTTTTTGGGATAGATGCTCTAGCTGTTTGGCTCTGTGACTGAATCACTGCCTTTTCCCAATTTCATCTGGACTGCAGTTGTTGATCTACATAATTTAAAGAAAGAATGGAGGCGATATGGGGGAAGGGGTCCTAGGGTCTCTCTCTGGTCCCTGGATCACTGGACACTCTTTTTGAAAGGGCTGCTCTTTTGCTCTTCTGACTGACGTCTCTCATAAATGGATATTGATAGAAGAAATAGAAGAAAAAACCCTGCCTAATCCCCAGGAAGATACACACAGATGCTGACACCAAAA